TGCTCATAGCCAGGAAGACTTGAATTCAATTCTCATCTCTGACACACTGGCTCTTTTGACCATGGACAAGATAACTTAATCTGTCAATGACTTAGGCAACTCTCTAAGACTATAAGTCACAGAGAAGGTGCCAGCTTGCATTGGCACAGGGAGTATCCTTATCCAAGCATTCTCTATACCAATGAAATCATTGGTTTAGTCACTATCTCTATCACTGTTAATCTGGAGGTAAGTCTTTAAAACTAGGGATCTGCCTTTGGCCTCTTTATGTTCAACATTTTTACAGATGACTTGGATAAAGGCATATCTTTTCAGATTTGCAGATAACAAAAACCTAGATTGGGCTAGTTAATATGTTGGGCAAATGAATCTGGATACAATATGGTCTTGTAGTCCCAGCTAGTACAATGGGTCAGATTGGTTGAAGGCACCAAGGATGAATACCCTGGAGAAGATAAGAATATGGAGAGATGTGTTTGTTTCTTTAAAATATCGGAAGTCAAATTGTTAATGAGGGTATAGGCTTAATCTGCTGGGCCACAGAGATGAGAAATAGAAGCAGTGGGAAGAAGTTACAAAGAGGTAGACAGGGTGGATACAGAGAAAATCTTTCTAATATTAGAACTGTCAAAGTAGAATAAATTACTTTGGTAGTTAGGGAAATTTTCAACATCCTCTTTATTCAAGCAGAGGCTGAATTACCACTTGCTTAGGAAGTTGTAGAAATAAGTTTGTTTTAGATCTGGATTGGATGAGATACCATACGTTCTCAAGGTACATAAGCAAATGACCTTTAATAAGTATTCTTTAATAACTATTACGTGTATAATTCGTGATGGATTTTTCCTCTGAGAACTTCATTTAAAAAAACACATTTTTAAAAGAGTAGTCCAGGACTTCCCTCTCAATAGAAATAAAGACAAAAAAGAGAACCACAAGGAGGAGAAACCAGACAACTCAAGCACCTCTTCCATCCCTCACCAAATGCCTTTGTGACATTTACTTTATTGTTTATATGGTTAAATTTATAAAGTGATCACTTAAGAGGTAATTTCTTTTCAATGTTTTGCCTACAATTCTAGTAAGGTGCCACCAGGGTGTTTGGTTAGGGCTTTGTGGTGTAAACAGTCAGGTTTTAAATGCAGATGTGTTGAACTGAGGCAGAAATTAGTATACTTTTATTTATTTTTTAAAATAAGACTTCAGTGAAATAGTGAAAAAAATGCCAATTTGTTTTATTTGAAAACAGATAAATTCAGGTTATACATAAGCTGCCAAAGAGTATGCATTTTTATGATTAATTAACAAATTAATAAATGGTGTACCTGACATTTTGTTACAGAATCAGGGCATTCTAACAGGCTAATGAAGAGTATTGGGTGCATGAAGAGGAATTTTGTGAGGAAAATGACAATAATGTGAGAGAGAGTATAGTTTACTCTAGTTATCTGTAGCTGACTGTAGGAGGAAGGTTTCTAGGTTGTTAAACCATTGTAACCTTAGGTAGTTTTAAAAGAAATCTGAGCATCTGGGACACCACTAACATTCTTCAAGCTGTCATAAGCTTGTCAGGAGGTGGGCGACAGGTAGAGTTCATGTCAAGGGAGGTAGTGACTGGATGACACTGACTGTCAAAGTTCTGATTTTAAAAGAAATGTAGTCTTAAGAAATTTGTCCAGAATAGACAGAAATAGAATTATTAGATAATAGTTTTAATCCTTCTACCACTTTCTGTGTATTCTAGGTATTTTAAATTTATTTCATTTACTTGTTTTAATGTGTTTTTAAATACTTGAGATTTATAAGGAAGCACTTTTAACTTTTTTTAATGAAGTAAAACATCTGGACTACATATCCAGATGCTTCTACTTCATTAAAAAGTTAGATATATACATATATATTATATATATATAATATATATAATATATATATATATATATTTACTATCCATGCCATTTTTCTGTTTCAAACAAACCCTGAAATACTTTGGATGATCAGGTACAGCTCCTCCAAATACTAAGCTTCCATGAGTGACTGGTGACTGGAGAAATGAAGGTTTATGATATTTTTAGAGAATTATTTGAAGGTTGAGCTCAAAATGACAGTAAATCTCTCAAACAATAAAAAAAAGCAATTCCAGGCACTTCTATAGAAATAGACAATATTGGAATGGTGAAAACTGAGATATGATCTAGCTCAAGAACTATGATTCTATTATAATGAGAGGGCTGGCCAACTGAGGGATCAGTCCTTGCACCATGGAACCATGGCGAGCCAGTATTCAGCCATGATAACTCAGGGTTAGTATTACATGTTGATGGAAAGTCTTAAACATTGTCTTCATAGACCCAAAAGGGGGCAGCCAGATGGTTCAGTGGATAGAGTGCCAAGCCTAGAACCAGGAAAAGCTGAGTTCAAATCTAGCCTTCCACACTTATTAGCTGTGTGACCCTGGGCAAGTCATCTAACCCTATTTGCCTCAGCTTCCTCATCTGTGAAATGAACTGGAGAAGGAAATGGCAAACCACTCCAGTATCATTGCCAAGAAAACCCCAAATGGGGTCATAGAGTTGGACGTGACTGAAACGGCTAAATAACAACAAAATCCCAAGGAATTTATGACTCACTAGTTGCTGATCTAGAACTGTATTTTTGAAAGGTTGGAATAGATGAACTTTCACATTTTCCTGGAGATTTTCCAGTGAGGAAAACTCCTATGAGCTGTTGGGTAGAGAGGGGGCATTAAGCTATATTTCCCCACATGTCCTCTATGAGTTTGTGCCAGAATGGAACCTGTTCCTATTGTATATTTTGTATTTATTCTTTTCTGATCTTTGGTGAATAAATGTATGGAGACATGAAGATCAGATCATGGACTTTTAAGGTCATAGGTGAGCTAAACTCATCTAAGGTAAGCTTTTTAGGTCCAAAAAGTCCCTCAGCAACTAAAGCCCATAGTAGCAGCACCAGTATCCATTGAAAAGTCATCATAAATGAGCAAGGGGACACCTCACTCCAAGTGAACTTGGTTGGAATTCTTGAAGAGAAAGGATAAAATGTTCTAGGGCCAGAATCCAGAGTATCCCTTGACTACATGTGTTAGCATGCATATGCCTCATTCCCATTGTACTTTTAAGTTTGAGCCCACTCTCCCCAGGGACTTTGCAAATATGTAGAAAAATAATGTTTATGCTCGTTTGCATCTCTTTTGAGTTGTTTTGTATCTAATGCTTTTGGTATACCTTCACAGTAAATACTCTTTCTTAAAAGTTAGTAGAACTATTCTCTTGATTGATATTGGGGTCTTAAGACATCATATAGGGGACTTAAGACTGATAGACCCACAGGGTACTGTGAAAGGAGAAGTAGCCAACTATGCTTTGTGTTACCCTTGTTATTCAGTCATATCAGTTGTGTCTGACTCTTTGTGATTCCATTTGGGATTTTCCTGGCAAAGATACTGGAGTGGTTTGCATTTCCTTCTCCAGCTCATTTTACAAATGAATAGCTGAAGCAAAGGGTTAAGTGATAGCCAGGGATTACATAGTCAGCAAATGTCTGAGGCTGGATTTGAACTGAGGATGATAATTCTTCCTGACTCCAGGGCCAGCACTTTATCTGCTGTTCCACTTCTTAGTAAAAGTGGAAGTTGGGCAAGTATGTTTCCTACTTATTAATAAAAGTAGAAGTTGGCTAAATTAGCCCAGAAGAGGTGCTATGCAATGACCCTATGATCCTTCACTACTTATAGACTATAAACTCCTTGAGGGCAGGGGATGGTTTTCATTTTTGTATCTCTAGCTTCTAGCACAGTATCTTCCATGTATTGAGAGCCTAATAAATGCTTGTTAGCTTGACTTGAATTGAACTAATTAAGAAAGCAACCCATCCATGCGTTCTCTTCCTGTGAAGTTCTTGACCATCTTCATCCCTACATCCTCTAGAAAGATCTACCCATTGGGATAGTAGGCTCCCTCTAGTCTTTTCATATTTTATGGGTACCAGCGCAGCAACTGTGCCGTCATTGTGTTAGACCTTTCTCTTGATGGATGAATGGTGTATCTCCTTATCTTATTCTATGTTTCCTTGGTAATATCTCATGTCGCATATAGATCAACCCATGGAGTGCTATAAAATGCAAATTATTTTCATTATTATCAATGCCTACCGAATGCCATAGAAAATATGCTCTTATTGTCGCTCTCGCAACTCACTTCTGATTTGGTTACAAAAACAGAATAGCAGGTATAGCACATGACCATGGAGCTCCATCTCCAGCACTTAGCTGGCACATGGTAAGTGAGTAATGACTGCATTTTATTTCATTCATTCATTCATTCATTCATTCATTCATTTCCACTATCTCCCCTACTGTTATAGATTACTGGATTATCAGATCATCATTCCAATTAGTCCAATAACAGTTTTGCCAATGCAGCAAAATTCTGTTATGTCATGTTTTTATGCATAGCTTTTGATAACCATATATCAGATCAGTAATATGGGAAGCCTTCTATGATAGGTATTAATCTGCCGTATTTTCCATAAACAGCCTCAGTCACATTGGTTACCACCTTCTTAGCATACTGCCCTATAGCTAATGTAAACTTGTGAGGATTTTTTCTCCCTACTCCTCATGTACTCTAAGGGCATCTATCTATCTATCTATCTATCTATCTATCTATCTATCTATCTATC